AGTCAATGATTTGGAGCTTACACAGAAGAATTGTTCGTGGCTAAACGAAAAAAAAAACAAAATAACTGAATTAGAAGTGAAATCGAACTTCGTTCTTTGTTAGCTGCTGAAGATAAATGTTTTTATGACAACGGTGTCAATTGTTGTTGTCTAGATTTAACGATTGGCACTCAACACTTTGCAAAAAGGATATTTTTGAGTTTTGCAAGAACCATGGAAAAAAGCGATAGTAGGAATGTCTAGAACCGCAAGCTATAATACCTAAGGATTTCCTCTCTCTTAAATATCACTGGCTTATAATTCGGACTATCGGCTAGATAGTTTGGCATTCAACCAGACACATTATTTTCATCATTTCGCTGCTGATCTTAGCGATAAACAATGGAAGTTTTGACAATATATTGAGCTCATTGTAAAGGCTAGGCAATCATTTCCAGATTTATCAGGTGTGCGAAACAGTATTTAATTAATTCATTAACGTTAAAAGAAAATATAAGCCTTATAAGGAATAATAGAAAGAAGGATGAGGAAAACACAACATTATTAGATTTTATTTGAAATATTGTGACACATGATGAATGAAAAATTTCTTTCGAAAGTTCAGAAAGAATTGATAAATTTTTTGATGATACCGCCAGTGCAAATTCAACTATAAAGTTAGACTCAAATAAAATTATTGGTTAACTTTGTTTTCTCACGGAGGTGGTCGACCCACAAAAGGAATGGGTTCAGAATGTTTTCTGAGCTAACTGAATCACTAAGGTTCCTTCTGTTCTTTTAATGCACTATGTAATTGAATTTTAGGATACAAGCAAACGGAATATATCAAAGAAAAACTTGAATCAAGTGGAAAGATTCTTAATTAAAAGGGGCGATGATAAAAAAGAATTTTCAGAGGGAAGAGTCGTTTTCAATATTTCAACGATATTGTTGACAATTCAAAAATTCAAAACAATAGTTTTGTTTTTCAAAAAAAAAAGGAGCAGCTATTTGAAAGAATTGAAATTCAGATATTAAACAAATATTTTGTCTAGACAAAACAACTAGTTGAAACCATTCATATACAAGTACACATTTCGGAATCAATGAATAGGTTGGAATTCTATTTTTAATAATTTTACATCATAATGCATTCCACATTTTTCTATTTTTGAAATCGGAAATTGCGACATGCAGGTAAATTGGTTTTGTTTCTTTTTCATGGCAACAATATTAATAGCGTCCGTTTACTAGGAATGCCGCTATTTGTAGGACGTGAGAATTATTTTCAGAAGCTCCATGTTAATAACGCTTCTCGTTTTAAAATTTTTGCAAGAAAGAGCTTTCAAAACAGAACGCGAAAATATTGATAGCTATTTTTTTTTAATTTCTGAAGTTATTCATTCGTTAAATTAAAGATCAGAAAAAATATTTTTGCTTTTCAAGAAAATTATATTCTATTCAAAGATAAATATCCCGAAAATTGTTTGGCAACTTGAATAAGTTTTGGTAGAGACCTACAATGCAGATCATCAGCAATGATCTAACATTTATCAAGATGGGAAGAAAAAAGAGCGAGAGAAAATTCGAAGATACCACGAATCCGTTTTCAATTTATACAGATTTTTGTGCGTAGGATTTTACGAGCATTGTCTTTTAGACGGCGTCACAAGCATCATCCGTAACAGTTACGCAATTTTTAATTCGAGAACAACGGCACATTCACTACGTCACAGCTGTGGGCAAGAGCTACCTAATTAAGGCGTTGTTCGTTTTTTATGAAGACTAACCAAAAACAGAGTCCTCAATTTTTTATGACCAATTTTTTGTCATTGAACCGCCTTCTCTTTTTTGCCCAATCGAAGTTGATATAGTGAGAAAATTGAACATGTATTTGAATAATCAAATTTTATTTACGAAACGCAAAGAAAGTTGATTGAACACATCCGAAAAAACGTATGAAAACATCCAAAAATGAATCAATATATAGAATAAAAAATCCTATATAGTTTGAACAAGAGCTATAACCTTATATATTATAAATAAAATTTTTATATAATTTTTTATTAGAAAATGTTCATAAAAAATTTAGTTTTTGATTCCTAATGATTCTCTCATCATTTTACAGTAATAGTCTAGGAAAAGGTCATATTCAAACTCATTATCGCCTAATTTTGACAGATGGGAAATCTTCAACGAAGCCAATTTTAAGTGTTGACGAATTTTAAACGAAATCGTGGACCCCCTTTCTACTTCAATATAATAATTGAAAATTGACTCCACTTGAACCTAAAGTTCAATTTCCTAATATGCAAAAATAAGTGTGAAAAACGATAATGAAGATCAACAAATTTTGATTATTTGACCTTGCGCTTTTCATTTTTCCTTGAAGCATCACATTTTGAACTCATCGAAAACAACTCGAGATCAAGGAAAAAATTCTGAGGCACTTCAAAATGAGAACATCATTTGAAGAGCTTTTTCATAATTTTGTAAATCAATATAAGCGCGAACAAAAAAACTTCTTTATGGAAAGCTGTTCCTATAGAAATTCCAATATTACAAAGGAAAAAGCATTAAAAAAAGCTACTATTTACATTTTCGCATTGCGGCCGTTTCAAACTCAACGTGGACATCAAATCTGGCAAACGATATTCATAAAAATTACGCCATTTTTTTTTACTAAATTGTAATACACAATTCTCAATTTTCGTGGTAGCAAGTTCATGTTCATTCGAAACTAAAATTAAAGTAACGGGGGGAAGTTCAGCCATATAGAATATTCAATTGTTGGGGTTCCAAAAACAAATTCAATTACAAAATTGTCAAGCTGATATGATGCTAACTAAAAATAATGACAGTCAAACAATCTCAAAGCGTACTCAAAACTTGGGGGTAAAATTGCGTTTCAAAAACCTTTTAAAACGGAAGCAAGACAAATTAGTCTCATCATTACAAGTAGTAATGAAAATATTGTAAAGAAGCTAATTTCCTACAATTCATAATATATGTCATGTCTCAAGTAATCTACATATGTTCAAGAAAATGTTATAATAAATTGAAAGCAAGGATGGGATAAATATAGAAAGTGCTTCTACTAAAGGATAGAGGGCATTCTCTGTAAATGATGCATTTTCTTAATGTGATGCCGTTGATAAAAGAAGTAATGTATTTTTAATGTTTAGAATCGCGGGCTGTATGAGAGTGATGCTCTCAGAATGTACTTTCTAAAGTACATTTTGATCATCAAAACACAAAATTACTTGCCGTGCACTTTTATTTTATTCCGGTTTCGGCTTTTGAAAAACTTGACTTTACGCAGTTCCATATAAACCGCGAGGGAATTTCAATTTGAATTTTCACCCAAATATCAATTTTTGGTCGAAATATTTACTGGGTTAAGTATGTAAATTATATATTCATTGTATTGAAAAATATGAATAACGTTATGCTGAACTTTGACAGTATATATTCGAACATTGATAAGATCAATGTATTCCAAAGGAATCTTTCATCTTTCATAACAAATTGAAATTCTGATGAAAACAAATGTTTAAAAAAATATTGAATATGAACGTCTGCAATAATTTTATGTCACTCTCTTAAACGGAAGAACTCAAATAAAAAAGTTTATATTATAGATGGAAAGGATGAAGAAGCGTCGAAATTCAATTTATTTGACTGTCATCAATATCCGTTTTTCATAAATATACATATATAAATAACATCCCGCCGCCAACCGATGAAAACGTATCCAACAAGCAAGACATTTCATCTTGGTTTGTGTTTTGGAACTGATGAATAATTTCCGATTATAACTCATCAAAGCGGCAGCATTAATTCGAGCCATGGACATATGTACACCTTCGTAAAAATTTGCTTAAAATATTTATGTGGCAATCAAAATGAAAGTCGAGTATGTCTCTTCATTTTGATGATTAGAAAATGTTGGCTTCGGAAATGAATTATTCATGAATCATTTTTAATCTCAAACTCAAGTGGGAACACAAGAAAAAGATGGACACGAATTGGGGGCAAATATTGTTTGCCGAATGAAAGAGAATGAAGCCAATACAATTTATCATGGATTTAATGAAAAATTGTTGTCATTGTGCCAAACGTTTTACAGCATTGAAAATCTCGGAATTGTCTTTGACGGAGTTGATGTTTTCCAAAACACAAGAATGCCATCAAAGTGAGTCGACTGTACGAAACAATAAATAAGTTCGAGTCCAAAAATCTGTTCATTGTCTTAAAAAATGCGTAATAAAAATGGAATTAAATATTTTATAAAATTGTGTGGGGGACTCCGTAAAAATTCCTAAGGTTTATTTAATGTTCTCAGATTGGTTCAAAATTTTTATTTTTTTTATTATTAACGCTAAAGTTTTTTTTTTTAAGAATCGTTTGAATTTTCAAACTTTAAAGACAATTTTAAAATCGCATTATGTAGTCCATTCAGGAAGAAGTATTAGGGATAACCCATGTTTTCTTATATTGGCGACAAACAACTCTTGAGAATTTCTCGTCTCCGATTCCTTTCAAAGTTTACCTTCTTGTCACTTGAAACCAACCAATCTCTTATTTTCAAAACAAGTGAGGTTTAAGATAACATATTCTCGAATTTCAGTTCCAATCTGTATGAATTAAAAATCACCAGAATATGAACATTTTGACGGCATTTGTCTCAATTATTTGGTTGGATTATCGTTCTACGGATTCTTCGGTTTTCTTTGGCAATAACGAAAAGAGAATAAATTCTAAAAACGCCAAAAATTTTTGAGGCGGTAATTTTTAATGAGCGTCTTCAGATCTCCCGCAGCAACCCGAATTGGCGGGGCCGCGGCGGTTTTTTTTGACATGTTTCATATTTCCAACTTGCCATTGTCTCAAACTGCCTTCAAAAGAATAAGCGTTTCGCTAATCTATTGTTTCGTCGGCGTTTTTCGCAAAGCGGCTGGCAATACACCTGCTCCATTCCAATCTCAGTAATTATTTGGTGGCACGAAGGTTAATGAAACATGAATTGGTGGTGTTACATCGTGCTATTATTTGATTTTCTAACAGGTTTGTTGTAAAGACAATTTTTTTTAGTTTCTTAAAAAAATTCTCAAAATTTCTCACATTTCTTAAAATGAAAGAATTCCATCATTTCCATCACATAACATTGTTTTGACGAAATCCATTACATATTTGCCGGATTTCCGATAACCGGAAGTTTTTAAAAATATTAGATTTTTATTATGTTGCAATTTGGCCACAAACAAAAATAAATAATTAGTTTTCAGCTGTTTACGCTCTTAAATGTTACCAGTGTAATGGTTGGCACGGAGATTATCCACTGAGGTGATAAATTTCAAATTTGAAAGTCATTATAATTCTCAAATTCAGATATTCTACCGCTGCAACATGTGACAATCGAAATAACCAATGCGAAACCCCACAATATTGTGTGAAAATCGTCGATCCAATGTCGCCGGGAGTCAACTACGTCACGTACAAAAGCGATTGCTTCTACCAAACCCAAATTCAAGTCAATCCAACCAATTTGAGTTTTGTCCAGGGAAAAGTTTGTTTTCCTTATCAAGACGGGTCGGCTCCAGTTAAACGGTTCGAATGTTTAATTGTAATTTTTTAAAATTTATTGAACAATTCAGGTGGTATTATTGCTTCTGCAATGACAAGGATTATTGTAACTCTTCTCCCAACTTCTCAATGTGCGTTATTGCCTCTTTTTTATTAATAATCATTGCATTTTCAAAATAAACATTATAAATAAGTTTTATTTTATTTTAAACATGCTACCAAAACAATTTATAACTCATTTAAAAACGATTAGCATATGTCTTTTGTTGAGAATGATTCTGACGGGCTCATTAGCTCATCACAGAGAGCGGCCCGTCACATTAATATTTCTGATTGGTGTCGAGGTAATTGCGAGTATTGCATGGCGGCGAAAACATCAAAAATCAAAATGCTGTTTTGAAGAGCATTATGGCAATATGCTTGATATAGAAATAAATAAAGTTGTTCGATTCATGAGTGACGTATGAACCGAAGTTGCGGCCGACGACGCAATGCCATGAGGGATTGTGGCGTTTATCAAATTCCTCTTTAATATACGTGGCAATGTCCTAAATAAATAAATTGAGAGGTTTTCCGACAAAATGTCTTACGTACTCTTTCCAGTTTGTATTTATCCATAGCTTCAAGTGATACCGTTATAGCCTCTTTCTGAAGTTCCTCTGGCATATCTGTGCTGCGGACGATTGCGTCTTGCTTCTTTGAACCCATGCTTTTTCCAATTAAATTTCCTTCGTGCTGAAAAGTTTTTCGAACTATTTTACAAATCACCAGGAATTTTCCGGATAATCACCGTTTAATACTGGTGTGCATAGTGTAGTTGACTATAACCCGATAGACTTTTCAAGTGGTTTTTAACAAATAGTATAGTAGAGTTTCGTTTGACCTGGGTCCCGTTGTCAGGACATTGATCTTGTGATGTATGGTCAGGCGGCCAGCCAAAAATACATTCATTGCCGTAAAACAATGAAAGATGTTACCAGGCAACGTTTTATTTTGTTTACGCTCAAGCGCACGAATTTCGTAAATATCTAGATAATTCGGGTTTTTCAAATTTTTTGTGTAAAAATTGAAAATTTTAGAAGTCAAAAGCTGAGAGAAATGTGGGCAAACTAGCAAATGAAAGGTTATTAAATTTTTAGGATGTTTCCCACATGTTCGAAAGTGAGATGGAAAAAAAAAGAAATTGGTAGTTGAAAAGCAAAGTAATAAATCTAAAAAAAACTGCCGCGGTTTTTTTTTGGAATTTGCTACTCTCAAAGACTTGGCGCAGATTAAAGTGAACATGAGTAAACTGGTATTTACGAACATATGAACATCTCAATTCACACCAAACACCACTTTTTCTGTAAAGCACAAAATGATTGTTTGATAAAAAGACAAGGTTTTAATGTTTGTCCTTAGTTCCCCAATCCCCAATGATTCTGAAAAAAGTTAGCGCTCAGTTGTCTTTGTTCAATTTTATAGGACTCCAACTGTGCAAAAAGTCCATAATTAGCTACGAGTATTTCTGGGCCCCATTTGAGAAAACGGTAGTCTAATGAATGCCAATTTTGTCAAAATAAACCTTAAAAGTTCAGTATGTATTGACTGTGAAACCGAACATTCAAGAACAGTTATTTTAGAAGATATGGAAACAGGAAGAATAATCGCGAGCGTCAATATTTTTAACCAAATGAAAACTGATATGTGACAAAAAAAAAACAATGAAACTTAATACAGTTGAAAACCCATAAGAAATCGAGATGAGTGTTGCCCTATGAAACCGAATATTTCAACATACACTTTTTGAGAAAATGATTTGCGGCGGCTCGACACTTGGCTGGTCAACCTTCTTCTCTTCAACACTTGATTTTCCCGGCAATTGAAGCGTCTTCATCTTCTGCAATAGCAATAAAATATTATTAGTTTCAGGTGAATGAGCTACGAAAATTTTTAAGTGGATAAATTGAGAGATCGCATTCACCCAACCACAGCCACTCACTATTTCATGGCGGAGTCTTTTGATTCGATAAACTCTCGAGTGCTTTTCAAATATTCAAAAGATACACAATGTTATCATTATACCTTTTTTAAAGTAGTATTGATTGATTGAACCATAATTGAACAAATCTGATTTTCTGAAACGAAACTAATACCTTGTTTTACATCATTTTTTCGGGACATATAATTTCTTTCGAAATAGCAACGATGTGTCAAGAATGGAACACGGCTTGCCTATCAAAAAGCGTAGTGATCACTATGTGAGCTTCTATGTTTGCCATTTGTTGAGGGATTGGTTCATTGAACTTCTGATCACGCCATTGTTTGCTAATATGTTACAAATGGACAAAAATGTAGAAAAAGTTTTGTAAAGATGACAAGCCGTGAATGTGGACGTTCGAGTGGATAGACTTTAAAAATAGTTATGAAAAAGAAAGATTATGCTTTGCAGATTTCCAGAATGAATTAAAATTGAATCAAATATCAATTACGACCAAACTTGATTTTCTGATATAATCAGCTTTCGGTGACTTTTGTACTAGGAAAAATTTACAGAAGTGTGTCTTGGAAATGGCCTAGTTTGGGCAAACGGATTAATTCGCATTCAACGGAACGATTAAACAAACTATAATGGCATTAAATACAGAAGGAAATATCTAACTCATCAAGAAATACTAAACGTTTCATGTGAAATAAAAAAATGGGAATTTAATTTACATGTGACGAGACCACAGTGGAAAATGCCACTTAAAATATATTCCGCGTACAGTACATAGTGACACTTTAAACAGTTGTCTACTTTTTTTCAGAGTTTTCATCTAAAACCTGCATAGGACAATTAAAGATAATTAGTAGTTATGATACAATGAGGATTTCTTTTTTTAATTTTTTGAAGTTGTTAAAACATTATACAAGTGTCATTCGATCATCAAATTATTCCAATTTATTACCAAATTGGACTAAAAATACAATTTTCACCAAAAGCAATATTTTCCCGCAAATATATGGTGGTGAACAAACCTTTCCGCCACATTTATCTTGGACGTAAAGCCGAAAATTATCGGGCGTATACAACTCTAACAAAAACTATCCCTCGTGTGTTTATGACGACATCACAACCTTTGTGCTTCGCGAACTGTCAAAGGATAAAGGTGCGGATGTTTGTAAATTACAGGTTTCGTCATCAGTCGGCTCTCAAATATTTATTTGTTTAGCTGGGTGGAGTAAAGTCGACAAAAAAATTGTTCGTTGGAAACACCATGAAAATGCTAAAAAAAAAGAAGATTCTTTGGACAAAAGAGCTGCACGTAATACGAGGGATCCGTGTTTAAATATGTATATGTATGTAATTGAGGAGCCGCTAGTTTTTCTCAAGATTTGCACACGAATACACGACTACTTTTCCGAAAAAAAATCTAGAATCCATTCCATTTTGTTCGAAATTTTTGTCAAAAGTATGATGTCCAATACATTTTTGTCTTTAATTTCCGGCATTCGAATAAACTTTTTCTGCGAGTATTGCCTTCATGAATGAATCGCATTTTTCTATTAATACCCTTCCATACATTTAATCATATTTCATTTAAAAACATAATTGCAAAAGTGATAGTGAACTCGCACTTTCACATTCATTAGAGATGGAACTTCGAAAATTTTTGAGAACTTCTTTTGCGATATACTGCATATTATCGTAATGTGGAAACGGTTGTGTGACCGAGAAAAATGTCAATAATTGACAGATACTGAATACCATATTTCGACTTTATCAGTTCGATAAGGAGTTCAAAAGCAAAGGTGCTGTTTCCACACTGTCATTCAATGCCAAAACTCTCATCTTTTCCAAAACGTCACTCATTTACTTATCGGTATAAGCTTGTTTTAATTGCCTCTTATTACAGAAAAATGAATCTATATTTCAATGCACAAACAGAGCTCTTAACCGATGGTACAACATCCTATGTAAGTGAAATGAATTAATGTGCACAATAAAAGTAAGATGTCCGCTGGGATATTGACGGAATCAGTCATTGAAGAAGTTTCTTGATGAGCTCCGCGATATTCCGGCTGAAATCTCGCTACTTCAATGTTTTCTTCTGTCTAATCTTAATATAAGTAATCGTAATATTGGCAGTATTGCTTCAATAGATGTTCTAAAAAAACATTTATCCCAAACTCAAAATTTCGATTTAATTTTGGACATTCTCTGTTGATATGATTACTCATTAATTAGTAACAAATAAAAACCGTCAAGTAATTATGAAATTGAATTATCGAATCTATTGGCTATAATGCGTTTCGCCAAAAACAGAGGCAACCAGAATTTGTCACTAGACCTTGTAGTTCTGATGAGTTGCGGTTCACGGTTATATAAAGAATTAAAAAAAAATGAACAAGAGCACGCGAATGGCAACGCTTCTGGTTTATTTGGAAAACAGACTATACTGAACTCACGGTTTGATATGTCTAATTTGCGTCAGGCCACGGGATCGATTGAACAATAAGATATGTGCACATGCGGTGTTTACCAAAATTTATAATTTTTGACGAAAACAGTCGTCAAATATCTCGAGACTTTAAGAATTGCATGTTTAAAAAACTTAATTGAGAGAGAGAGACTATCTTTACACCATACACATGCTCAACGCCAAGGGTAAATAAATGATGGGCGATAACAAAAACAATAAATTGGGTCCGGGTTCAGCGGGTTGTTTCGGTGCTACGAGTGAACGTGAAGAGCTCACAAATCACAAAAACGCGGAAAAAATTCCTAGATATACATTTGAGATCCAACAAAGTTATAACAGGCAACCCGGGTATCCTTCATAAATAAGCAAACAATAGTATCGTCAAGGAAAGTATAAACCGAAATTGTCTCTCGTATCATCAAATTCAATAAGATACTTAATAGATTCACAAAAATTACAAAATATTTCAAAATTTAACTTGTTGATAGTTTAAATTTGGCAGGAAACAAGTACAATGTTCATTTAATCCGTTACAAACTGAATTCAACGTAGAGTCGATTAAATTACGAAAATACAGTGGGTCCAAATTAACATATTGTTCCGAAATTTCCATTTCACATCGTATCAATCCCGCACTCCAGATGGTCACCTTTGTTACATGAACATTTCCACAGCTGCGATCTTCAATAGAATCGTTTGTGATTTTTTTTTGGTCAAATCGACAACGCGAAGCTTTTTTTATTTTGCGCACATCTGTCTCGATTAGAATAATGCCACTGGTGTGTTTTTTTGTTTCGCGCCGATTTCGTCATTCCATGTGCGGGCCGCATAATCAAAGGCGGAGCAACACCGCCTCCGCGCCTCTTCATCTGTGACGGCGACAACGACGACATTCGTTTCACAAAAACAAACAGTCTGTCAGACCACGCGAGTTTCTACTCCTCGCCGTCACACAGTGTCCAACTGCAGTTGCGTCTTCTCTGCCTCGTTTTGATATTCGCAAAAACGCTGCCAATATGGCTCGCTCGTATCGATTGCCTAAAACGAAATATTCTGAAATTCCCGATTGCACAATCGATCGCGAGGTAATTCGTCGATTCTAGTTCCCAAAAATTCTCTTTCTTACATAAATACACAATTGTGTTGTAAACATTTTAATACTTTCAGGTTACTCGTAATCGCGCTAAAATTCTGGTTTCGGGATGCCAGGGCGTTGGAAAGAGCGCTTTCATTCACAGACTACACGACAATGTCTTTGTTGAGGAACAGAGCGCAGATAAATTGCTTAAGATCGTCACAAGGGCTGTAAATGGGGAGATTATTCGCGCCGAGCTGGAAGAAGTCGGTACGCTTTTTTTTCGTTCAAAATCTTTTGAAAAAAATAGAATTTCATTAACGAAGTATTCAAATTACTCATACATTAGTAAAAAATTAACAATTTTTCTAATATTTATTTTATCCTACTTGCATTTAATCTTTAAATAAGGGTTTGCTATTTCTTGAACGATGCATATATATTTTTGTTTCGAATTGTGCCAATCCTAAAATTTGCCATTGTAGATTTGGAAGAGTTCACCAACATCCCAGATGAATCAGCAGCCGACATTCATCACAAAAGAGACTGGATTGATGTCAACTGGGTTTTTCTTCTTTACAGCACGGCAGATCGCTCTTCATTCAATGAGATCAAAAAGCAGTTGCCGGTGATTCAAAGAAGAGTAATGATTATTACCTATGATCCAGGAATGTCAAACTCTTCCAGGTGGCGCCAAATTGCTTCATCAGTCTTGTTGGAACCAAAGCGGATATTAAAAACAGGGAAATAAGCTGGGAGGAGGGAGAGGAATACTCAAAAGAGGTAGCCCTCTCACTATTCGAAATAAGGTATTATTATATATATATAAACAAGGAATGGTCCAGCTTATTCATCTTCTCAATATTTTCAGCACAAAGACAGGAATCAATTGTGAGCTTGTGCTCGCTGAAACGCTCGACGCATTGGAGGAGCGCCGCTACGACGAAATCGCAAGCAGGGAAGACGTTCAACAGGAACAACCAGTAGGCCTATTCAGATTTCCATGAAATTATATTTTTAAATTTTTAGATGTACCAAGATACCGTTGAGCCAGGCGAGGAAGCTCACGAAAATGGAATACATCTTAATCTGTTTTGCTGGGTTCCGAAGATCCCGTTTACCTCCATCTTTTCGAGATAATTAATTTATAGCATGTTTCTGCAAAAACAAACGGCTACTAGAATCGGTCACCGCAAGACCCAGCTATTTATCGTGGAATGATCCTTTAATCAAGTTTTCAAAAAGTCAATTGCGATAATTTACAATTTCTGTTGAAATTTCCTGACTGGCGAATATGAAAAAATTAAATTGAAATTGCATGAAATGCCGAGAATCATTGTGTTTTACATCAGTTTATTTTTTCAGTTTTAAAATTCGAAAATATTTTTGAATACGGTAAAAATGGAATATACTGTTTTGATTAGAGTCAGGTCTCGCAACAATGATTTTGCTAGCCGCTCCCTTTTTAAAGAAACCGACTATAGAAAACAATATTGTCAACAACTCTTTCCCCTTCCAAGATTAGTTATTCTTCCGCTCGTCTGTATATGTTTGTCACGTGTTTATCAATACCCATTCCAATGCTTCTAGCAATTCATGAGTTTACCGCAATTCATTGATCTTGAAAAGAATATAAACGCTTCTTGCTCTGAGAACAATGCTGGTATAATGGCATTCATACGCTTTGACGACGAGAACTTTCTAAACTTGGCGGCCTATTTGGCGTGTTTCAACGAATTCTGAACATGACGGATTAGACAATGCAAATGACAAGTAAATATTCGTAATTTCCGTATTGGTTTTCATAAATCCCTATTCAGTTTATTTTTTCGCATAGTTTTCAATTCAACTATCCGGTTTAATGATGAAGTAAGTCGAAAAAAAACCAATTGTAAGCAAGTTGTTTGAGAAATTTTAAAAAACTATTTTAAACACTAAAAAACATGCAAGCTTTCGCGAAAATTCGATTTTAGCCCGGTTTTTTTCGTTTTCGTGAGCCCCAAACACGACTATCTCAAAAAAAATTTGGTCCGTATCAGTTACTTTCTAGAATATCCAATTATATCAAATACATATGTCACTTTCTAGATCCCTTCAATTTTCAAATCGTTATTTTTGATTCGGTCTTAAAGATATTTTTTTTTAATTTTTATGCACAGTTTCGGAAATCTCTCAAAGCTTTTAAAGCGGTTTACCAGGTATAGTTTCAAATGTTTCATATATAATGGAAAATTTCAAGTTTTTTCCCTAAAAAATGTTTTAAAAAAGTTTTTTATTCTTAGAAAAGCTGCCCAACAATTCCAAAAAGTTTGCTTAAATTAGTTTTTTGGTTTTTGAGTTCTCGGATAACTTAGGTAACAAATACCTCAACACATGCAATGAGACAATTTAGAAGGGTTTAACTTCCTATTTAACACATTCCCCCAACATATAGTTTTAAAACACATTACCACGAGGTAAATCATTGAGCACTTGAGAAATAAAAAGAATAAATCAAAAGTAGTTTAGAGCACTTTTGATTTGAGAGCTTTTTTGCATTTGTGATGCACAACAAGTTTTACACAATTTTCAACACTCAAATTGATAGAATAGCCGCCAGTCAACCCGTTTTGATTGCATTTCAGATCACTGGGTTCAACTCATCTCAATTGTAAACACTTGGCAGACAATTACTTTATTTTTTCAAGTTTACTCAACTATGATAAAAGAACATTCCGATCCTTTAAACTAAATTGAATTCCGTGAAATTTGGATAAGAAGAGAACGTTCTATCATCATGACGTATTCAGTTTGTCTGTGTTGAGCACAACTGAAATTTTATTTCGCCAACGGCGGAATATTCCATTCTAATACATAACTATGTAAATATGTAGCACTCGCAGTTTTTTTTGGGTGGCTTATCAATTTGAAAATTGTTTTACTGTTTAGTGTGAAAATGATTTTTAAATTTTTTTGTGATTTCGTTATCCAAATTCTTCATATTTGAATTTTCCTCAAAAAGTGTCTAATAAGGCAAATGCGATTAAAAAATTTGCTAGACTCTTCGAATTTAAGTTCAAGTGAATTAAACATTACGAGAATATTAATTTTCGTTTTTTTCCTCGATTCAAAAGACCAATAAAATATTTTTTTAATAATTTCCAAAAAGCACTTGGTGTAGGTGATCTTAATTTGCAGTTCAACGTAATACGGTATACAACAAGTACAGTTAAAATTCGATATTGAATAACCTCCTCGCAAATTACAATAGTGCAGAAATACTTATAGGACTCGTCCTTTTACAATTCTAATATAATTCAGTGCTTTCCTTAATACGGATTCCAAATATTTACTAGCAAAATTGTTTTTTCAATTAGTCAATGGCTTTTCTTATCCAAAAACAGCAAGTTCATCCAAATTTAGTTTTCATTGAATATTTTTTGACTTTAAGAGCGTGGCTGCAAGACCTCCCCAGTTTTCTTAAAAACATGTTTTGCAAACAACGGAATCCGCAATAAAATGCCATTGAAAAGATTGAAAGTGCAGTGAGTTGTGAAAAAAATGGGCATTAATGTGAAGCTTCCTTAACGAATTAGTCAACCGTTAAATTTACTTTAGGTGAGAGACAATGGGCCCTTGGTCAGACGTCATTTACTCACCAATTTTTGCGGCACCAATATTAATTCTAAGAAATGAGTAACAGCGAGGCTTTGTGGCATTCACTCCCAGTCTATACTAGTAAAAAATTGACCCGATCTATCCAGTTAAAATTTTTTGCGAAAAAAAATAAGGCTATGAAATGTCGATGCATTTTTGCTATAAGTTTTTGAGCAATTTGAAACATCTATATATTATATGTATATATATATATATATTTTTTTTTAATGAGCCCATATTATTTTATCAAGTCAAACAGAGCAAGAGCAAACAAAAACGATAATTCAACGAAACCATTAAACAGATTTTTTTTCAATTTAAAGCCCATGAGACAATAAGATTCAATACGAACGAACCTACTCTATTAATTTCAAAACAATTAAGATAACGGATTATGCTTGTAATTAAATTCAGTTCACCATTAAAAGTGTCTTTAAATGTTCACAAATTTTCAAGAAATTTGGCGGTTACTGACAAGCATGAAAAAATATAGTCACGGTCGGGAAGAATTCCAGTACATTAGATGAAATATTTCTAGTTCAAAAATAACGTTAATTCACTTACTTGAAGGCATATTTAAGCGTTTGAATTATTAAAAATAATAAGAGTATTATTTTTGAAATTGTAGTAGAGAGTGTTGGTCAACAGAAGACTCATTTGCACCATACTTGTAAGACTAAATTTATTTAAGATTTTGAATCTATCAGGCATGTAATATTAACAATTTTTTATCAGTATATCGGATTTTTTTTTCTGAAAAAATAGCGTGGAAATACTATTGTTGGTGCCATATTGATTAAATTGATATTAATTGCAGTAATTACAGGAAAGAAGCCTTAAAAACATAAAATCGATTTGAAAACGTAAAATAAATTTTATATTTTTTTAAACTATTATTTTTTGCAAATATTTTGTTCTCCTTGCCAGACGAACAATATTTTTAATCGGCTCCTGCCAAAATCTAACCTTTCTGATTATCGCCTCTCTAGATCATAATACTCTTAAATCTACTAAAACCATACAATCGATGGGCTAAAACATATAATTGTCACTTGAGCTATACTCAGTTTCAAAAAAAGCAAAGCTGATTTTTAAACTGTCAATCATTTCAATATTTCTGCCAGTGTAAATGGTATATTCGCTCTATATGAATAATACACAGGTCTCACTGAACTCGTGAGCAGAATAAAGAATTATGCGATATTATTATGCTAGTGATTCCGAACATCATTTTCTGGTTGCAATTTCATTCGACGGCGTCAAGCAAATCGCGTCATAAATTCGAGTAACCTTTCATATTCCGGTCTTATTAAACGCAAAAAAATGCTCTCATTGTCTATGCGCACGATTTCCGCCTCGCTGCTTTCAATCCAGTACCATGCATTTCTTCCCACACATATTCAAACGTTAAATGTTTTTGGTTCATTTGTGATCCCATTATTTGGTCGTTTTCTTGATACATTCTAAAGTTTTACCAATGAAGAACATGCTTAGAAATGCACAGAATATAACCTTTGACATTCTCAAAAAGTGACAAGCTCGTTGGTTGTTATTGTTGTTCCGTATCAAAATAATTTCTGTAGTTTATCTTTCAAAAATGTGTTTCCTTCGAGAAATTCAAGAAAACTGAAAATAGTGGTGCTTCATTTGAAAAAAAAATTGCGTACATGAGAAATCGGATACTTCGGAAATGTTTCCAAGACATTCTCGGACATCAAAAATTTCGAAAAAAAAATTCGCCGTGCAGATTCATAATTACATTCGCCTTTTATTTCTTCCTTTATTGTATTTTTCGAAAGTTGTTTGACGGCGCAAAAACGCGAAAGAAAAATGCGGGGAACACGAATCAAAGTGATTGAATTTTTATGATGTACCAAACCTTATTTACAACCTATTCATGAAACATTCCTCCCCCAAGCAGAAATATGTATATAATGTTTAGCAAAAAATTGAGCCAGATGTCGTCTTCACGACGAATATTATTTCAAAAAATATTTTTTTGTGAGATGTTCAATCGTTGCACCTTGGCAGACTCAAGCAAATTTTGGTGGTGATCACATCTCTTTTTAAATTAAATTACTATTCAAAACAGTCTAAAATTCATAAAGTTTTATAAAAAAGGCATAAAACAAATTTCGAAAATTCAGAACGGGAATTAAAAAATAAATAAAGTTCGCACCGAACAAATCAAAACATCTTACTAAACACATTTTTTTAACAACCACAATATTATTCGAAATAGTTTTCATATAATCTAGAAGCTTTCAATTAGTTCTCATTTTATTTTCATTTTTCGTGATTTTTATAGCAAAGATAATTTTGGTGATACTAATTAGAACAGAGTATAGATGAACATTATATTAATTTTTTCTCCTGAATGATATCTCTAAGATCTTCAAATCAAATGAATTCAAACCAGATTTATTTTGGAACTCAAAATCAAAACTTGTTGACAAAAATAGAAATTAAGCCTGTTTGCAGTTTTTTTTGTGCGTAACACATTA